ACTGCCAGAGCCCTGAGGGTGGTATGAGGGCCCGACGTCCACAGGTGGGGGTTGTGCTTACAGCCCAACACCGTGAAGGATGTTTGGCATTTGCCAGAGAACACCAAGACTGGCAAATTCGCCACTGGCGCCCTGTGCTCTTCACAGATGAAAGCAGGTTCACACTGAGCACATGTGACAGACGTGACAGAGTCTGGAGACGCCGTGGAGAAAGTTCTGCTGCCTGCAACATCCTCCAGCATGACCGGTTTGGTGGTGGGTCAGTAATGGTGTGGGGTGGCATTTCTTCAAGGGGCTGCACAGCCCTCCATGTGCTCGCCAGAGGTAGCCTGACTGCCATTAGGTACCGCGACGAGATCCTCAGACCCCTTTTGAGACCATATGCTGGTGTGGTAGGTCCTGGGTTCCTCCTAATGCAAGACAATGCTAGACCTCATGTGGCTGGAGTGTGTCAGCAGTTCCTGCAAGAGGAAGGCATTGATGCTATGGACCGGCCCGCCCGAGCCCCAGACCTGAATCCAGTTGAGCACATATGGGACGTCATGTCTCGCTCCATCCACCAACGCCACGTTGCACCACAGACTGTCCAGGAGCTTTAGTCCAGGTCTGGGAGGAGATCCCCCAGGAGACCATCCGCCACCTCATCAGGAGCATGCCCAGGCGTTGTAGGGAGGTCATACAGGCACGTGGAGGCCACACACACTACTGAGCCTCATTTTGACTTATTTTAAGGACATTACATCAAAGTTGGATCGGCCTGTAGTGTGGTTTTCCACTTTGATTTTGAGTGTGACTCCAAATCCAGACCTCCATGGGTTGATAAATTTGATTTCCATTGATGATTTTTGTGTGATTTTGTTGTCAGCACATTCAACTATGTAAAGAAAGGAGTATTTAATGAGATTATTTCATTCATTCAGATCTAGGATGTGTTGTTTTAGTGTTCCCTTTATTTTTTTGATCTGTGTATATCAATAAATAACCTGCAGCATACCCTAACATACTGTAGAACTAATTGTCTTCCAATTAGCTCAAGAATAATGGTCATCTTTTCAGATGTGTATTAAAGATGGAGTATTCAAATTTTTCTTCATATATGTAAATACTTAGTTTAAGATAGATAAATAACTTAATTAATACAAAGAGGGAATGTAGTTTGGTTGCCAGTGCACAATGACAAATAATAAAACATCTTCAATACAGAGTTGCTTCAGATCTGATTTTATATTAGAGTGCCTATAAGCTGATTAACTCTAGTCATAAATAAGCTCTAATAAAGAACACTGTTATCTGAGTGCTAATGTGAATGCCCTGTTCCTGTTGCAGGTATTTTGTCAAAGTTTCGTGGGGGTGGACGTTGCTGCTGCTGACACCCTTCCTCCTCATCTCCAACTCCTCCTTCAACAGGAGTGTGACCTTCCTCGGCCGGCGACTGCTGTCTCTGGTGGTGGCAACAGCCGTCTGGTACATCTGCACCGAAACCTTCTTATACATTGAGGACATGACCAGCTCGTGTTTTGAAACTCACGCCATGGATGTTGTCAAGAAGGAGTTCACATCCAAAATCAGCTGCAGGCGGGCCGGCTTCCACTGGCTCGGCCATGACATCTCGGGACACTCCTTCATCCTGGCCTATTCTGCTCTCTTAATCAAGGAAGAAACTTCACCTATGGACTCCCTGCAGACAGCCAAGCTCTCTGCTCTGCCCAGGATGGTCCTCAACCTGCTGTATGTGGCCTTGAATCTGATAGTGACCATTTGGGTGTGGATGTTTGCCTGCACCTCTGTTTACTTCCATGACCCACTTCACAAGTTTGAAGGGACCGCATGCGGCCTGTTGGGGTGGTATCTGACTTATCGGGTTTGGTATAAAATACCTTTGTCACCAGGACTCCCCCCTCTGCCCCCCCCAAAAGAAGAGAAACAACACGACTAAGCTGCTGTCACATTTTCCGGTACAACACTGTTGCTAATGTTGCAGCCATCCTCCCAACAACACTCTACAGTCGATGTTTTCTGTCTCCGGGTCCAAGTTGGCCGTGCTATTTTAAGCTTTTTTAAGTTTTTAAGTTATTCCTTCCTCACAGAAAGGTCATTTTTGTACAGGATGACTGGCTTGCAGTTCCTCCACAGTGTTTGGCAGCTGCTCTTCCCAAAATGGCTCTTGGTAATCTGAGATAAAAGCAAGACACTGCTCTGCTGCCCCCCTTCAGCCTCTCACCTTCAGCCTCTCACCTTCAGCCTCTATGGCTCGTATGCTACGCTGTTTCCCAGTCTGTTGCCTTATTGTGCTTTACTCAGAGCAATCAGTTTTTAGATGTCTGAGTGGGAACACTTGATATTGTTTACAGTTCAAGTTATATAGCACTGATGATGTGTATTTTTGCAGACCAATGTACAGTAGCAGATAGTAGTAGTAGATTGTTTTTATAGGAAACTACCTGCAGAACATGAGACTAAGTGAGATCAGACACATTAACTACACGGGTCCCACATTTCATCCTACAAGGATTTCAATGAGGGCAACCCCATTTTTTTAATCACGCGGTTTGTGGTTAGTATAACTTTGTGTCAACACTATATGTAAACTATTAAAAACACCCATGTGATTAACAACAGGCACGGTAGTTTATTTTCAGTCCCACATTCACGGTCCTGCTGCCATCCTATGTAAAGAATACTCACCTAAACTGCATCTGGTGAGTATTCTTTACATGGGATTTGTTGACAATAAGGATCATATACAGTCACAGAAAAAATGATGTGAACTCTTTGGAATTACATGAATTTATGCATAAATTGGTCATAAAATGTGATCTGATCTTTATCTATGTCACAACAATAGAGAAATACAGTCCGCTTAAAGTAACACCACACAAACAATTATGTTTTCATGTTTTTATTTAACACATTGTGTAAACATTATTAACAGTGCAGGGTGGGAAAAGTTTGAGAACCCTTGGATTAAATAACTGGTTTACCATCCTTTGGCAGCAATAACCTCAATCAAACTTTTCCTGTAGTTGCAGATCAGGGCTGGTATTTATCAAGCTTCTCAAAGTGAGATTTTAGTCTTAAGTGCTGAGAATTCATGAAATTTACTCCTACTTTTAAACTTAAGAATAAAAGCAAGTTATCAAATTTCTCAAAGCTAAGAATCACTCTTACACTCCCAGTTATTTAAGACAGCTGGAGAGGTCTCTCAAGTGGTTAGGAGTTGCCAGTAGGGCTTGTGTTGGCGCTGTGGAGACAGAGACATGCGTCGGACCGCGCAGGCATAAACTTTGTCAGCGAGTTGGTGAGGGACGTCATCTCACCACTGACTTTACGCAGTAATGCGTTTTTAGTTAAACTGAAGGTGGAGATGACACTTTGTTTCTTTGCCACAGGACAAATGCAGCAATGCTGATGATTTTGGCCCGTCACAACCCTCAATAAGCCGAATAGTTATGGAAACAATTTTAGCACTTAGAGCTTCACACACTGTCACGCGTTTCATCGACTTCCCAACAACACCCCCTGTAATCCCACAGAAGCAAACACATTTCATGCAAATAGCTGGCAATACAGGAGTAATAGGCGCATTTCATATAACTTTAATTTATTAAAGTGTAGGCCTATATCATAATGTATTATCTTGAAAATTCTTTATTAAATGTGTGTTGAATATAAACTCCTCTTAGGAAATTATCTGAGAATATTCTTAAAGAAGGAAATCTATTTAGTAATTGGTCCTTGGCGACATCGTCATCCAAAATCCTGTTTGTGGCACAGCAAAGTGTTGTAAATCAGCACTAAGACTGACACTTAAGATTTAGTCCTACACTTCACTCAAATTAGGACTATGATGCTCGATAACTAACTTTTAAGCGCAGCTTTGAGCCAAGAATTTTTTTACTCTTAAGTCAGTTCTTATGAGTGATTCTGAGAAGCTTGATAAATACGGGCCCTGATCAGAACCCTTTTAGGCCCTGAGGCGGCGAAGTAGCCTAAAACCATGATTCCTGCTCCACCATACTTTACTGTTGGGATGAGGTTTTGATGTTGGTGTTTGCCACTCCATGGTGTCCTCCCTTAAACTCAATTCTTGTTTATTGTTTTTACGTATCATAGAGTCATCAACATAAATGTTAGCATGTTCCAGAGATTTCTCTAAGTCTTCAGCTGACACTCTTAAGACCCTTCTTAACTTCATTGAGCATTCTGCGCTGTGCTCGTGCAGTCATCTTTGCACGACGGCCACTCCTAGGGAGAGTAGCAACAGTGCTTTATATTTTGTCCTACCGTGGACAGATCATAAAGTCTTTTAGAGATACTTTTGTAACCCTTTCCAGCTTCCTGCAAGTCAGCCATTCTTTATCTTAGGTCTTCTGAGAGCTCTTATATTCGAGACATGGTTCACATCGGGCAGTGCTTCTTGAGAAGAGCAAAATTAAAATTGGTGTGTGTTTTTTATAGGGTGGGACAGCTCTAACCAACACTTCCAATCTCATCTGACTCCAGTTTGGCTGACTTCTGACTCAAATTAGATTTTTGGAGAAGTCATTAGCCTAGGTGTTCATTTACTTTTTCCACCCTGCACTTGAATGTTTACACAGTGTGTTCAATAAAGAAACATCTAAAAAAACAAATTGTGTATAATCAGTGTAAGCAGACAGTGTTTGTCTATTGTTGTGACTTAGATGAAGATTAGATCACAATTTGGGACCAATGTATGCAGAAATCCAGGTAATTCCAAAGGGTTCACATACTTTTTCAAGTGAGAATAATGCCAGCATCATCCTATAGTGGGTATTTTCAGGAAACTTTGGTATGTGTAAATAGCATAGCAGTATTTTGAAGAATATTAATGTCACAAGCATATAGCTAATAGTTTTCTAGCATTAATGCATGCATTTTTTATGACGTCCAAAATATACAAATACAAGCTCTACAGTGCGGGGAACATAGTAGGTTTTGGTCAAATAAAAAAACACAATCTGTGTATTCCATTTTCATTATTTATTTGTCTTTGATGGCAACTGAATAAATTAAGGCTTATGAACAAACATCATAAAAAGCACCATAAATAAATGCATATATAGAAATATAAAAAATAAAAAGTAAAAAATAAAAAAATACTATAGTGAAATATAATGGCCACAAATCACAACTAGGATTTCCTCGACTTGAACTGTGTGTTCCAAGAAGTACAGATCCAACCCGTCAGGTAGCATGATTTCAGTCAGAAGAAGCAGCAGAGCAGTAGCAGGTGTGCCCGCAGTAATCAAAACGCACCAAGCCTACACAATGATTGGCTGGTCATGAAGTTTCTTGACATTTTCTCCACCGCATTGTCATCTGCTGTTTGTCAATTAACACAATAAGTGAATGTTTAAGCACTGAAAAATCAACATGAATAACAATTAAGTAAGTTTTATAAATAAATTGCAACAGGAGATGGTACTTTACACCTTTGTGTCCTCTTGCTTGCTTCGAAACTTGGACAAGTTCATATATATTTTTGAATCTTCTGTGCCACTTACATCACCGCGGCTCATGCAAGAACAGTTTGAAACAAATAACCTCCCTGTTTCCCCTTAATGCATATCTCAAATTTCTTTCCAGGAATTAAATGATTGATTCCAAACAGTTATATCTATATAGCTAAACCGCGCTGTCAATATCAAACATGAAACTGGAATTAATGAACTACAGCTTCTACACTTCTGCTTTCTGGATGAAAGTCAGATTTATTATCAGATGTGACACAGCAAGGAGATGCTGCTATTAAAGGAGCATTGATTATTGTCTTTGGTTCAGCATTTTCTGCCACGGTTGCACCGTGCAGCCAATCACCACCTGCAGAGACGAGTTCCTGTAGCAGAAGAAAACAGGGAGCATCCTAACTGGAAAAACTCACATACGTTTTCTTCATTATCCAAGGCTTGACAGTTATCCTGTACTGTGATCTTTACTGCAAGAATGTCCGTATAACCAGCCGTAAAACCAAAAGCAGCTCACCACTCCAGTATCTCACATAATGAGTTAAAACTTAAAAGCACACGGTTCAGGAGCAGAATTATAACGTTAAACCCTGGAGGTCTGACAAAGAAAAAGCAGAAAGGCTCCCATGAAGGGCGAGTGCGGAGCGAGAAAAGTACACTGCATCAACAAACGAGACAGCTGGCAAGGCTCGCCGGGAGGGAAAGGCTTTTTCTTTTTGCTTGTCATATTCCTATAAGCCTTCAGATGAGCCAGCTTCTCCTCCCCTGTTCCCATTATTTAACCTTTAGGCTCATTGAAAATTCAGCACGGTAAAATAAATGAGACGATGTATAATTAAAAATATCTATCTGTAAAAACAATCTTGCATCTGTCAGGAGGAGTTGGCGACAAACAAGCCGCTGTAAAAATCCAGTGATTTTTCTTGCTCAGTATTGCTGAGGGACCATCTCCAACACACTGTACAGTGCAGGTGCTTCAAAGGTTACAATTAGCAACAGAACATTTAGAAAAATGTGGTGTTTGATGTTTTGTAGTGATTATAAATTCTGCTTCTGGGCGACACGCAACCCTCAGTGTCAGTATCGTCACAAAATGCTTACACAATAAGAAAGTACCCATGCAATGAAATGTACATTCTAAAACCTAACGCAACACTATTGTGTCATAGATGCAGAATTTACAATTTTACCACGAGTTCAGCCAAGTGTAATTTTTCAAACACCCAAGATTTGTAACGTCTGAGCTCCTGCCCAGCGACAAAAGAGAGTGACAGTGGACCAGTGTGTGTGTTGTGTGATCTGTGGTGCTCTAAATAAACTCACTCTGAGTGCACGTGTGTCTCTGTGTTTTGTTGTGTGTAGGGTGTACAGTTAGTTAAAGGAATAGTTTGACATTTTGGGAAATGCACATGTTCACATTCTTTCGGAGTGTCAAATGAGAAGATTGATACCTCTCATATCTTATTTGTTAAATATTATTCTACTGTAGCTTGTTAGTTTAGCTTAGCATAAAGACTAGTAAGGGGGCAACAGCTAGCCCCAATTTGTGTCTGTCATGTATCACCATTACAGCATTAGCATTACAGCGCTAAGCATCTGCTTTTCCTGAAAAACAAAGATGGAAACATTTATCAATATTTCCATAATCCTCAAAGACTCTTCTAACCATCTGGGTAAAGAAGATTTTATGTTTGCTGCATTAAAAATTTAACATTTTGCACCTCTGTTTCTTCATCCAAACAAAGATCGAATCTCCTTGCGCAATTTGTACAATATGAACCTTTTCTTTTTAAAAATATCAGTTACATCGTTAAATGTAACTGATATATTTGATATTTTAATACAAAATAGCCTAATGCATTTATATCATTCAAACAGAGCATGTACATATGTAAAATCTGCCTCTCTGGATTAAAAAATACAGTTACAACTTGTGAAATGGGTTTAAAGAAATGCTCATGCAACAGATGTTTTTATCCAGATGGTTGAAAGAGTCTTTAAGCATAATTGAATACTGGGGCTTGCTTCCCCTTGTTTTCCATCTTCATGCTAAGCTAACTGAATGCTAGCAGTAAGGATAAGGGTTTGTGTTCTGACGTAGATTTTGTTACCTTTGGACAGAGCTATCTAGCTGTTTCCCCAAGCTTCCAGTCTTTAAGCTAAGCTAAGCTAACTGTCTGCTGGTTGTAGCTTAACTTTTAACATACAGACATGAGAGTGGTCTTGGCAAGGACGTGAATAAGCGTATTTCCCAAAAGGCCTTAACTATTCCATTACAGTTTGCCTCCATCCTTTCATCATTTCATGTGGCAGTTTCTGGCAGCACAGCAATTATCAGAAAGTATTTGTCATGTACATTTTCCTGTGGGTTTACCGTTTAAACCTCAGGCTGATGGAGGAGTAAAGAGCAGGTATGAGTAATGAATATAATTGTGGCATGCGAAGGTCAGTTAACCCCTGTTGGTGTTACTGTGTTGAACATTTTATCTGGGTTTCTACTTTAGGTTTTCAGTACAAGTGGACCCGATGCATGGCTCCAACAAAAGATAAACAAGGACTTACCAGCACAAGAGCTGCAAGTTGCCAGAAATTAAACTCAATGAAGGCCTTGATTACCAGAAAATGTGCTGTCAAGATTTCTTATTATGGAATGTTTTAATATTCTTTGTTCACCCAGGTAAGTAATAGTGTTCTCTATATAGATTCATTATGTTTTCCTGCAGTCATAAAACATTACAGAAAAGTTGAAACATCACACAAATACACAGACATTTAACACAACAAGAGGGCATTCACTACATATATTTCTTTTTTAAATACCAGTAGGCAAAGTAGCCCATCCCTCCAAGTGAGCCCATGAGAAAAGAGGCCCCGAAGAAGGACGGTGGCTTCTTTTTTACCATCCGGAAAGCGTTGGGTAGGACGGCAGACAGAAGGGTCGTGTGGATGTCGCCCAAGACCTTGCGGAAAGCGTAGCGTTTTTGGACACGCACAAAAAAGGACTGCAGGTTGGGTCGGCTGCCGTCCTCCCAGTATTTCTTAGAAAGTCCCAAGAACTTGAGCCTGTGCAACAAGGCTCCGAGGCAGACATCAGCTAGTGTAAATTCAGGTCCACATAGCCACAACTCACACTTTTGACCTGCAAGGGAATGAAAATGTTCATGAAAACATTGTTGAAAATATTTGGAACATGTTTCGGTGCTATTATGACAGAAGATGACAAGCGTCTGGACATACCTTGATACTCTAGTTTTCTTTTCTCCAGTTCAGCCTCCACTTGATCCAGAACCATGGCTAACTCCCCCAGAATTTTCTTCAGGTAATTCACATTATCGTGGTCCAAGATTTTTGCCTAACAGTCATTTTACAAAAGGCAAAAATACTTTAATTCCAAGAGGCAAACCAGTATGCATAGTTGGATATTCTTAGTATCATAAAGTAAAATGAAGATGTTATATATACAGACTTCATTTTACTCCAGCTGCTTTAAGAAAAGTGACTTGTGGTTGTTAGTAGTTAAAATGTTAATAAACAAAAAATATGTATGTACCACATGTTAGATTATATTATTATATATTATGCTAACATAAGCATGCTAACATGCTGCAGCAGGTATAATGTTTAAATGGGCCCAGCTCCAATATCCCCTCTAATCATCTATATAGTTTAGTGAATAAGATGTTGCTCTTTTTAAAAAACTGTTTGACCAAATCAACATACTTGGAAGACAAACAACTATACATACACTACACAATATATGTTTTTTTTATTCAAACGAAATATCACCTGCCAACTTTCCACTGTCATTGTTATTTTATCTTCACAACGATATGTATCGTGGATTTTGACTTACGCAGAGTGTGCAGAAAAGGCTCAGTGATATAGCCCAGTGGCCTCACCCACTTTACAGGAACACACTCTGGGCCACAGTTACCATCTAAACCAACTAGTTAACTTTCCTAGTTAACTAAGTAGCATGCTCACATTTTCTAATTAGCACTAAATGCAAAATTAGATTTTTATGATTCATTAACCTGTTTACATTTCTGTCATTGTGTACATTTGTTTTTACACTTTATTGATAATCTTTATTGTCTTTATTTAGTTTTTATTTGCACTCTTCTGTACTTTGTACAGCAACTGCTGCACAACACTTTTCATCGGGATAAATTGAAAAGTTCTATCTTATCTTAAAGTACAGCTCAGGCTGACTATTGGAGGAAGTAAATTAGTGCCAGTCGAGCACCAGTATTGGATGGCACTAAATGAAAAGCTAAGGGATCACCTACAAGTCACTCATAACCATAAATATCAACCTCATGGTGGCCCTAGAGGTAAACTCAAGAGAACACAAATATCATTATGATTCATCCTCTGTGGACTATAAATGTCTGCAAAATGTTGTTCTAATCCATCTAGTTGCTGAGATAATTCAGTCTGGACCAAAGTGACCGACCAACCAATCAACACACTGCCATTCGTAGAGCCAGAGCCACATTGTTAGTGTAGATTTTTTTTTTTTTAAACATTCTGGCATGACACACACTCACACAGTTGAAACAGCTGTTATTGTCTACTTAGTTTTCAGCTTATCATCATGTACAACACGTTTTACACTCTCTATTATTAGCAGAATGTAAAATGGTAAAAAAAAATGTCTTTGTAACAGATGCAAAAAATCATTACACCTGGATATTTTCTCCAGGTCAATGTGAATTGTATTTAGGTCAAACCGACATTATGCTACTGTGCAGCATGCGAATAGGATCTGCATGCTGCACAGTAGCATAATTAGAGGAAATTACTGAAGGTTGTTCATGATGAAATTTCCCTCAGCTGCAGACTTGGAAATTCAATTATCTGGTCCAATACAGTTTGGGAAATTAAATATCTGTCAGAGTGTTAAACTCTAATAAAGACATGTTTGACTTGCAGTGAGTTTGTCTATCACAAAATCCATTATATTTCTGTGCTCATACTTACAGTTATTGGGTCTGAAATATGTATATATATCAGGTGCAAACTTAATGATATTTAAAGGGTTTAAGCTCAGGTTTAAAATGTAAATGAATGGTCTTTTAATTATTAAAAGGGGTTTTAATGGGTTTTCTGTATAGATAAAAGGGTTTTAAGGGGAAACCCCATAGAATTCATTAGCTTGCACTTAAATTAAAATATAAACACCCTTAAGGTATAAATTAAGTGACGGTGTCTTTATTATTTAGTCAATTATAAGCATCCATTAATTTATTCATTCATATTTCCCTTAAATCTCATTAGAACAGCTTTATCCCATCATTAGTAATGTGTCAAAAAGCACGACAAAATTTCAATGTAGATATATTTTGTTTTTAGTTTGTTTTTTCTCTTTCTTTTAAAAAACGTTTCGTAGAGGTTGCCTCTCCCTTATTCACATAATTACCATATAATGAGGACAAGTGATAAATTAATTCTTTTTAATCAAATGAATGCACACATAAACTCACCATGAGCTTCTTCTGTTTGGACAGGTACGGTTCTGTCAGCTGAGGCTCCTCATGGTCCAACTTCATCAGCTCCGTCGCAGCGTTGGCCAGGTGTCCTGAGACACACACACACACAAAGGACACATAAATAGTGTCTTGATCTACCATTTGGTGGAAAAAAGATTGATTTCAACAGAATTGCTATTTGAACAAATCTAAATAATGTCGTTTGTCTGCTGTCCTGTTGTTGAACATGTTGCTTGAGAGATCATCTATATGTGCATATAGTCCTTAGTCTTTGTAGGTATTACTGGATATTGAACAACATTTTCCAATCAACCACAGTGCATATTTTAAAGATGAGTGTGTTTAATCCTCCAAGGAGTTGATTTTGACTCAATCCCACTTAGTATACAGCGTCCTGCTGCCAGAAATACTCACTAGAGATACAAATGTGGATTAAGCCCCAGCTGAAAATGGTTCCCGCCAAACAAATGCACTATTTTCTCCTATTTAAGTAAAGTTTGCTGAAAAAAGCTGTTTTAAATTAAAGTATATATTTGTGACCTGTTTTCAGTAGGAACCAATCGGCTTGAGGCTGATGGCCGCAAACAGGGTACGTCATAAAGTATTGAGAGACGGACTAACACGTTGTTACTTTAGGTCTTTTCATGGGTTTTGTTACAAAAATAACAAATAACAAAATACAAAATATAGTCAGTGTCATGCTTTTAATGACAACAATCCACCCTTATAGATATTTTAAATGTTTTCAGTTCGTGATTCTCAGTATTTACTGTTGCTGCACTGGAAGTATGTGATTAAGCGAGTTTTTTTTGTTATACCTTCAGTGTGCAACATATTTGACCGTTTTAATACTAGAGTGAAAAATGATTTTAGATAATACAAAGTGGTTAATTAAATACAAACATCGCTGATGCTTTCCATTTAATACTCCATCAGATTGATTTTACAGATGCAATACAGGGTGACCGGAGTTTAACTTGATAATTGATTTTGCTGCAGATTTTCGTTTCATCCAGGTCATTGCTTTGATTTACATACTGAGGTCATTACTTGATGGAAAGAGCACTACAGTTCAGACTGAGAGGCCTGATATCAGCTGTTGGGATATATAAACCTGGCATCACTACAATCTGCTGCTTAAGGGTTTTTTGGTATTGAGTAGCGTCAAATTACACAGAATGCTAATCACGTCGGGCACATAAAAGCAGGGATTTGTTTGCAGATGATGCGGAAAATGCTGCAAGGAAGGTGAATAGCTTTGCATTTCTAATGCCTGTCTGTTGTTTTTGCTTGGGAGACTTGTTCCCAAAGTTAAAGCTCATTCAACCTCGAGAGCTTGTAAATGCTCAGATTAATGAGTTCAAACACTGAAAACTATTAATATTATGCTGCAGAAATAGAAATTTTAAAAAACAATTTTATTCAAATTTTATTTATATAAAACCAATTAATAACAAAGGTTATCTCATTGCACTTTTCATATATAGAGCAGGACTAGACTGTACTGTGCAATATTATATATCTATTATACATAGTATAAACACATACATAGTATGTGTGTGTAAATACATCCAGAAAGTTGGACAAAAACAACAATATCATCTACTTTTTATCTTGCCAACCTTCACATTTTACAAATACATTTTATACTTTACATACTTATCATTATCTATTGCCAATAAACCGCACACACCTGTAGACACACATGCATCTACTCTAGAATAAACATGTGTGAACATGCAGCAGAACACACTGTCACATTAAATAATGCTGCGTTGATGCACAATACGAGTGCCTGTGTGCCTCTGTGTGTTATACACACTTGAGTGGATTCAGTTTCCAGAATTTGTAGTCCAGTCTGTTTCTGGTAATTCATGGTTCTGGCTCTGGTCTCCACTGAGAGGCCATTTGGTCTTTATACTGTGGGTCTTTTTAGGAACAATGGTTTGAGCAGGATGAACTCTCACGGGCAAAGCAGGACTCCATACTGTCGAAGAGTTCCTTACAGTTGAGAGACGCCCAGTCCCAGTAAAGCTAATTTGGAAAGCCTAAAAGCTGTTTTTATTTGGCATCACTGTTAGCACCTTAAGGAAAATATTTCAGATTTGTATTCAAAGCTGACTATACTTTGAAGTTCTTTGTGGCCTCGCTGTACCTAGTTCGAGATTGTTGGGCAGAGGTCTTTTATCAGTTACAGATTCCCAACTTCAAACCAGGTTAATTTTAGCAGTCAGTTCCCCCAGGGCTCCCGAACGACCTGCACAAAGTATCGGATTTTGAGAAATACGCTTATTCACTTTCTTGCCAAGAGTTAGATAAGGAGATTGATACCACTTTTACTGGAATTGGCTTGATCTATTTAATTACAAAATCAGATCCATTAGTTTCTCATATTTAATGCAGAATTATAAACAGTTGTGAGCTGGCTTCACTTACTACGTATTTCTGCGGTGGCGTACTTTGGGATCATAGAGTCAGTCGTAAGCTCTGGATGAAGGATGCAGCCGTGTGTGTAAGCGTCCATGGGCAGACCATCCAGTAGCTGACGGTACTGCTGCACACGCTCATGGAGAGGCGACTCTGCATCAGGAATCAGCTGCGCCACCGTGTCTGCGGGCGAGACACCGATATGAAAATAGCAATGGAGAGAAAACATTTGAATGTAGCTCGAACCTTGTCATGCCTCTCTGAAGATAAGCAGGAACAGAAAAACATTCATCATTCAAGGAACTACATAATGTGGAAACAACACAATTAAAATAACTCTAGAACAAAGTTGCACAGTAGTTTTCTTGGTATATTTTCATAAACTTCCCAAAACATCTGAGGTTTCCAAGCAACTGTCATTAAGCTTGCTGTTATACGTCCCTAAAATAACACAATTCTCAGTGCTTCAGCTGTCAGATACACAGCATGGTAACCTGGTAACAGATGACACCCCTCGCTGTGTGTTACACACCACTGGTCACATTTTACAAAGCCTGACATTTAAACAATACTAAAGCAATCTAAAACAAAATCCTAGAGACTAACAAGTAAGCTGTTGCTCAGGTTAAAGGAATAGTTTGAGATTTTGGTATTTTATTTTTACATGAGAATATGAATACTACTCTCATTCAGTAGCTCAGGGGTGTTGCTAGACATAAAGCTCTACTGGGGCACAAAAGCCCTCATTCCCCATGAAAATGTTCATATATTTTTGATTAAAGTGTATGAAATGTGTCAGTGTGTGCCTCACCAGCTTCCTTCACTTAACCGATTAATATTGGCACCGTCATGTCAGAAAGGGCTTTGACCAGAGGCATTTCACCTGGGTCTGTGTGACCTGCTAAAGACGTCTGGAATGGGTATGCGCTAGTACTGGATTTGAATCAGCTGTCCTTGTACTGGCTTATGATCCAGAATCTACTCTACTGACAAACTTCAGCATAGCCCCTGTAAATCATAAATATCTTGCAAGATATTATTGTTGGGTTCTGTGCCCCAGTAGAGCTTTATGTCTAAGAACGCCTCTGGGGTATTCACTGCTTTTGTATTACACTTCCATAAAGTTGTGAGACAGATTTGTGAAACAGAAAATGATCAAACTGAAGCTAAGAAAGACCTACTTTTAGTCTCTATGGGTCAGTCTCCTAACACTGGATGCTACATTTCCTATAATTCAACTCAATACTTTGTCAGAGTAATCTTCAACATCATAAAGTCCGCACGTAGTCTGCCACACAGGCTTTCTGTTAAAAATCTGTAGTCTCCAAGTCCGAGCTCAGGGCCTCATTTAAATGGTCCCTTTAAATACAAGGCTGCAGAATGTTATTAAACAGAGTCAGGTTAGCGGTTTCACCATGTTTCTTTATGCTAAGTCTAAGCTAACTGGCTATTAGCTGTAGCTTCACATTTCTGTATAGATATGAGAGTGGTATTGATCTTCTCATCTAACTCTTTGCAAAATGTTGAACCAGCTTATATGTTTTGCTGTCTTAATTCTTATGTTAGCACTCAACTTAGGGATGGTGTTCAACTGAATGACCTGCTGCTGAGATTCAGTACTAAGGATGAAACATATTTATCTCTGTGCAGGGTCACAGCCAGCATGGGGACGGCATCGCTGACAAGACAGAGATAGGCAGTGGGCCACTTGAGGATGTTTGGGCCAATGGAGAAGCTTGCGGAGGGTGGAGCTGCACCTGGCAGGGCTCCAGATAGCTGAGTAATCAGTCCCAGGATCGGCATGCCGACCTGGGCATCCCGTGCAGCGTTCCTCTAGGTGGTCCAATGCAGCAGAGCCAAACCTATCTGAAGAACAAGCCAGTGCTCGAACTGTCTTGGCGACAGCGATGCACATTACAAAATATAAGAGCAATAGAGGCATTGATTGTTTGATTGTTGTCGATAAATAGTTTTCACACAGTAAGAGCCCTTTTGCTGCATCTCAACAGCACTGTAAAGCAGTTTGAGTTGGCACTACGCAGCTCTGTACTGGTGTGAGTCTTTTTTCTGAGACATCTGCACTTTCCAGGCCAGCTGCAGTCAACATTGCCAGCATTCATTAGGGATTTACACACAGAGAAAAGCCATATCTGTAAGTCTTATCCAGCAGATTGACTACTGGCTAAAAGCATGTCCAGCTTGAGGTCTGGTTTTAAAACATGTGGTGGATTCAAAGCAAATACACTGTCACCTGACTGTTGGAAAATACTGAATGATGTTATGGTTGCAGATTCTAGTACAACTTCAAACTAACTTGTTCCAAAAGAAATAAATTAAATTACCTGCATGCTGCAATCTATCAAATAGCTTAAAATGAATGGGTCTGAATGGGAACAAGACATCAAACACCAGGGTCTGTTACTGCCTTCTAGCCTTTTATTACTGTGCACGCAGTGAACCAGATCTTCTGCAAAGCCTTCAAGCATCGCTGCTCTGGACAAGTGACCACAAACTAAACTACGACAAGGGAGTTCTCCAGTTATTGGCTGACATTCCTCAGGCCTTTACTGGTTTGATGCTCCCAGAATATTACACAACGTCTAAGCTGACGGATCTATGGGACACGCCACCCACAGATACTATAACACAACACACAGAGATAACAGGATTAGGTGTATGCATCTTAACATTTGCTTTCTCTTGGAACTGCAAAGGCAGCAGATGAAATGTGCCTCACAACACACATTTTACATAATAACACATCTTAACTATTTGTTGGATTTGTTGAAAAATGTTGCTATCGTGTTTGTATCTGTGTCTTGTTTGCGGCTGCCACAAATTTCCCCCCAGAGATCACTCCAGTTTCATCTAATCTAATCAAAGGAGTTCATCTTGGTGACATTGGTTCAAAGTCATTGTTGCAATGACTTACAGATTTTCACAGTACAGTACACACTGACACACATTGTACAAGGACGACAGATGGCCTCGAATGGCTTCCAGTCGTCTTTGCTATCCCAGCTTCACAAACTGGGAGAATGCAGCCGGATATTTTCTGTAGCTCTTGAGTAACACTGGATTTGCAAAAACCTTTGATTAAATTTGTGTCAATTGGTTTGTAGTAAAATAATTAATATAATGTTTGTTTCACAAATGCGCCAATAGAACCATGATCTGTTGCTCCTTGATTTTAGACAGAAGCTTAGACAAGCAGGCTTCTCATTTATAGCAACCATCAATTTTACTGCCTGAAATGACAACAACTGTTGCTAGTGGATTTGATCAGCTGCAGACAGAATATTAGTTATTCAAGCTAATAATAAAAACACTGTCTCCTGCGGACTTTTTAATTTTTCCAGCTGTTTTAAAATGAAAATCTTGTGAAAGGGGTCCTAAACATGCATTTGATTGCTACATACATGATATTGTACTGAAAGACTGAAGCTAAACCACATTATCCATGTAGAAAACATGGAAATAAAAAAATTCCTAGTATTAATAATATTAGAATGGAAGACTTAAGATCAGACTGTTATTTCGTTCTAATATAATCTTGTTTGGCTGCTTAGCTAATATACTTTTTTAATTATTATAATTTTTAGACAGAATGTGTCACAATCACTCTCTTGTTAACAGCAATGCCTTGTGGGATTGCCAGCAGAAAGTTGCCAAAATCTTTACTTTTTTGTACCAATTTTTGAGGGCACTATGTTGTGGAAACATATACATAAGCTCAGAATTCCATCACTAAAATAAAATGACTGACAGTAAATGTAGTGCAATATATTATAAAAAAAAGGGAGTGATTTCGGACGCGGCCTAATTGATGCCGAATGTAACGGTATCTCGGATAACGAGTTTGACTGGGTTAGTTGGAGTGCAAACAACCCAAAGTCCACTAAAGAGCAGGACAATGTTAAGCATTACTCTGATAGCTTCGAGGACAGGCTGCCACAGTAGATGTGTTAGTCATGAACAGGGCTTTTTTTAACATCACCTATAGCCCACAAACTTATGGAGTTAGCTAATATACATATGATATGCTCCTTAGCCGCAATATCTTTCTCCCACCAGATTTTCGATAACTCAACTCACTGAATGCTAAAAATTACTCTCATGTTGGACCAGATGAACACACTGTTTAAACATCCAAGGTGGGTTCAAATCAAGGGGAGTGGACTCAACCAAGTCCAGTTGTCCTTTATTTTGACCTACCTTGGTTAAGTATGACTTGGATGACTAAGAATATTCACAAGCACTATTTAATCCATTCCTTATACTTTTTCTCTTGTGCGTTTGTTTTGGAAAGACTTAAAAAAAACAACTTTTTAAAAGCTGAGTATTGCTATTGCTAAAGCCCCATGCACACCACTTCAGCATGCAGAGAAACCCAAAGCTTGACAGACCTGCCATGACTAGTTACGGTTGCTAATCTTTGTTTGGACACCCGCTGACCCGAGAAGGGGTTTAGCAAACTGTTAATTGTGGTCCAACAACTTATTTTTATCTGCCTACGCTTTAAGTCGTGCTTTTAAAATAAAAGTTTAAAGTGAAGAGCTGATAGACAAACAGACTCATTAAACAGGAACCACATTTATTACTGTACCATACCTCCCACAAAGTTTTTCTCCAGGTAATCTATAATCTGGTTGTAGTCGCTGATGATGGTGTCCCCATGGAGGAAGACGGGGACCTCCTCCCCCAGGTTCAGCCTCATGAACCAGGGCTCCTTGTGCTCCTGCAGCGGCATGCTCACATCCCTTTCCTCACAGACCAGACCCTTCTCATTAATGACTAGACGTACCTGCAATCATAGGCACACGCAACATGACATGGTGTTAAAAGATTAACATTAGACAGCCGTGTGCACACTCTAAACACACTACACGTTTTCATTTCTAATAAATATATATATATGTTAATATACAGATGGTTGAACTAGGGAACATTTTGTTGCTTTAATAAGTATTAATTATTTTATTTAAAAAAACTGAAAACAGAAAAGAAAGAGTAAGACTCCATTTTATCTTAAGTAAAACAAAAACATTGCACTACAAATCTGGTTTTACGCTGTTGAAAATAGTTACTGCAATATTACCAAAGCTTAGCAGACTATAGCTAATAGCTTCAGCTCTTAGTTTATGACACACAAAAGCCATGTTTGTGTTGTGTAGAATAAAAAGGCGGAGCTGAATTGTTTGTGTGATCGGGCAAACTAATGAGATGCTTTACAGCGTGCTAAGGTTTGAGTTAAAACCTTCCAGGACAGTCAGGTTCCATTGCTAGCGGGATGAAGGATAAGCCAAGGTCCATGGAGAGCTATTAGTGGGAATAAGATTAATGAACAGAGATGACACTTGGGGCATAAAGTCCTACATTTGGCCGCTTAGGAGGAACAGCAAAATGGGAGTTTTGCTGAACATGGCCAGACATGATGTAATGAAATAAAACAGAATGATTTAGTAACACAGTCATTACCACTGGCTTTGACAGCAGGAACAAACCTATGAATGCAGCAGCAAAATCAAAGTGAAAAAGCATTTTAGATCACTGTTACACACTAAATCAAGGGCTTCTATATAAAACTGTAAAACATTTCAGGTCCCAGTCTGACGGTGCTGAGCGGCCCCTCGGTGATGCCCACAATAACACAGTCACTGCTGCTACAAGAGTTTGTTATATAATGATATTAGTCACTACTTAGTGATGATGCCAAGTTCAGCTGAGAGGCACAAAATAAACTCCTTTACTTAACAATTTATGTTACTACTACTTTTGCTGTTAACAGTGGTGGAAAGTAATAAGTACATTTAGTACTGTACTGAAGCATGAATTTGAGATAGAGTTTTTCTATTTCATTGTACTTTATACTTCTATTTCATTACATTTCAGAGGGAAATATAAATTTCACAGTGATTATGACTTGTAACTTGCTACTACATTTATCTGCTAATAGTAAACGGGCTTTTAGAGTCCGATTTTAAATTTTTTTTACAAACCTTATTAAACCTTATAACCTTAACCTTATAAAATAAAACACTCCTTATTGAAAAGGCTGTGCTAATGTTATCTTTCAGTTGTTAGAAGTTCCACCAACTTCTCACATGGTTTGATTTAACAGTCTGAGGGCAAAAGAGTTAAAAGTTTCCAATAAAAATAAAATTAGAGAAAGAGAGAGAGAGAGAGAAATAAACAGAAGAATAAGTTTTTTTCTTCTTTCCTGCCCCATTAATTATCTCAGGACCACCCAGATTTATAATATGACCCTTTGGGGGCAGGGAAGTTTGAAACAAGTGGGGCACAATTGGTAAATGAGTAAAACAGATTCTTGGATGCATATTATTAATTTATTCTGTGTAACAAATTACAGTGCCAATTAAACAACTTTAAATATCCTAATATGAAATAATAGCTGTTATTAGTAACTCCAAATACCCTACAGCTATGGACAGATTATGAGAAAATGGGTCTCTGGACATGGACATGTAAAAGGCACCCAACAATGCAGCAAGACACCGGACTGAAAGAGATACTGGACCAGGGTTGGTTTACATTACATGTAACAGCGTTACATAATCAGGATACAAAAATCAAGTAACTGTATTCCATTACAGTACAAGGAAATAATCAGATTACAGGTACATTTTGTAAAAACAGGGAATTACATATAGGGATTACTTTAAGCACAAAGTTCCCATGAAACGTAAAGCAGAGTGCTATTTGCTATTTATGTGTTTCCAGTAAAAACACAAAGCTTGTGATGGATAACTACGTCACAGATATTGATTAATTATTAATCTGTGTAATCTGTGATCAGATTCTGTGACCAAAACCCAAAGAGGATGTTTTTCTAACCATAACCAAGTATTTTTAGTACGTAAACCCAACCAAGTACTTTTGGTACCTAAACCCAACCAAACTGCAGCCGCTTCACATTGTCAACAAAGCCTCTGGCGCTTAACTTCCCATTGGGGTCACAGAATCAATAGGTCACACATTTTGGTGTCACACCTGTTTGGCTCTTGTCACTCCCCGCAATCATTCCCCGCCAGGTCCCCCTGCCCCTGACCTGTAAACCTCCAGTGTTTAAACACTCCGGTGCTCTGAGCTCCCAGTACGGGCAGAGTAAGCTAATTTGACCAGTAACTGCAGGCTAACTGAGCTAATTAGCTTAGCTGACTTAGCCTACTACAGCAACAAGTAAAGTTACCTGTCCATCAGGGAACTCCGTAAATCACAGGGTTGAGGCAGAGCAGCAGGGGAACATCAGAGGGAAAAACAAATAATATTTTCTATCAAATATGATCCAGTTTCAGTAAAATCAGGGAATAAAGTTTTGCTTTTGTACAGTAATCAGTGGTGCCCGGTCCCAGAAACACTATTTTTCAGCAGCGTCATAAAAATTAAGAAAGCTTTTCAATGGTCACTAAATTAATACAGGTCCCCAGTGCAGGATGACAAAACAACATTTTTTGTCATTGATGGGTCAGATGACGCCCAGTGCAAGGCATATGATATAAAAACATTTTAACATTGATTTTGATTTCATGGGAATGGGATATTCAGCAGTGAAGTAATCCAAAAGTAACTAAAAGTAATCAGGCTACATTACTTTTATTTTGTGGTACTTGGGTTACGTCACTGATTACATTTTTTAACAAGTAATTAGTAATCGTTCCGGATTACATTTTTTAAGTAATCCTCCCAACCCTGTACAGGATAGTGTCTCTTTGTGGTAGTTTTTTTGTCTCTTTGTAGCGTTATTAACTTTCCAACAACCAGTCACTTCATACAGAGGCTCTGGTCCAGGGGCCCCAGTTCAGTAATCTAGCCATGAAACTAAAGCAAACTACCTGCAGTATCACCTTTAGACTCCGGTTTAGGACGCTCAGGCCAACCCTCTGGCCCATCCTGTGTTTTAAGGGGGTCAATCTCTAATGTAAATTGAGAACCGCTGTACTAAAGTAAGTAACTGTTAAAACTAACGCCACCTCAAGCAGCTACAACAGTAAAATGAATAAGAGATATATATAATATATATATATAATATAGAAGCATAAAAGAGCAATATTTTGAGATTAATACTGGATTTCAAAGAAATTGAAGATAACAATAAATTAAGAATAATCCTAGGAGAAGGACATTCGGCAACCCTTGCCACCAAGTATGTGGCCCTGTGTCACAACCTGAGGGACAGGGAGTGACTCAGCCAACTCTTGCACTTAACATTCGCTGCATGGCAGGTTAAAACTTGTTCACTTTTATTTGTAGGTTATGTTCTATCTGTATTTGTTATTTTTGTTTTTGCAATGTATAAATGATGAATTGAATGGTCTCGATTGGATTAATCATGTAAACTTTTTTGACTATGTTGTTTTGGCAACATTGTTTAAATGAAACATTCATGCCTATAAAGCAAACTGAACTGGACTGAACTGAACTTCTGCTGCTGCTGCTTTCACATTGCTGTTTTGGTAATTTAGCACAAGATCTGAATACTTCTTCCACCACTGGTTGGTAATGCATAATTATATTGGAAATTACATGAAGTCAATTCTAAAATGAGTGACCAGATACTTGCTGACATAACGACACACCTGCCCTCTACCCAGACAGAAAACAGCAGAGGGCTGCAGCCTCACAGAAGGCGTATTGAAAGTGGAAATCTCTAGCCATGGCTTAAGGCTGCCGGTGCTGTATTGATCTGTGAAGCTGGCCTCTAAATGTGCTACTCCAGGGTATCAAGCTCCATCTGTCTAGAGCTGTCTTTATCATATCTGTTGTGTTCACAGTACATCACTCATTTGAGTTAGATGACTGTATGGCCTACTTCAGGCTATGGGAGCACAGTTACAGTGGCAGTTAGTTGTGAAGCATTATAAACACAGAGGAAGGAAAGAAGTGCTGTGCAGGAGAAATTCAAAAGCATAGCTTCCCTTTTTCCTCAGGAACTTGCGGAGGCGTACACAAACTTTTAAATAATCCCGCTGAACATCTAATGACAGTACTGTCTTCTCATTGATAAGTGACTCCCCTGCCATCATCACTTGATCAGTGTCTCGTTGTCAAGTGTCTCATTTTGTCTTTTTAGAGAAAGGAAAAGTGAAAAGATTGACTAAATATAACACTATCTTTCAAGGTGCTTTGGAGATACTTTTACCAATCATGTTGCAAGTATTTGTGTTGTATTAAGGCACAAAACATTCAGTTATATTCTGGTGGAGTGGACAACCTAGTGCTCGGCCTCTTAATCTCATAAAAGCCATCCCCAAAATGCCATTTAAAGCATGCATCAGCTTGCATAACAACAAATGGCATACACCATTCCACAAATAAATATTATCAGGATTTCTGTGCAAATTTAGAGCTGCAGTTTTACTGGAAACCATGTGCATTGTTCCAAAGATGCACACCCATTAGTCTGTTTGGTGACAGCACAGTCACATATACTGAGAGACGGCAGGGGCGTAGGACTTGGGGGACAAGGTGGGAGAGAGTATGCAGGGCCCTCATTTGAGGAGGGCCCACAGAGATACTAGAATGTTGTAGCCGTGGATGCGGGGAGCGGTCCATAGGAAATGCCTAAAGGCTTGTGCAAAATACACGACTTTCAGCGCTGGCAGATTGCCGTGCTGTTCGGACTACACAATTTGCCGTCTTGTGACGGGAGTCTTGAAGTCGTTGTGGCGTTCACACTACCTGACTGGTCGTTGACAGGGGGTCACACACTACACGAGCTGACAATGACTCTGTCACGCTGGTCTCCAAACCACGTTTTGTCAAGAAAACACATGGGAAATGTGAAACGGGCAATGACACGAACCTACATACGAAACAGCTGTTGTTTGTTATTATAAAGATAGCAATTGTAAAGACTAAGAATATGGGTGAAAGAATGGATTAGCAGAGGCAGGTAGCAGGGATTGTCTGAGCTCGAGAGAGAGCTGGAGGTAAGTAAAAAGTGTTTTGCAGTGAAAAAGTAGCTGCCTGCTCTGCCAGCTGCCTGCTCTCATTGGCTGGGTGTAGATGTCGAGTCGGCTGACTCCTCCAGATATTTGGCATGTTAGATATCTGGCTGGCGTCTGCGATGTGGCAGTGATGTGTCGAGGAGCCGTTTTAATGCGTCGTTGAGTAGTTCACACATAACGACTGGTGAGCTTTGCTGAGCTCACCAACCGGCAAATAGGTCTTAAAATCGTGTAGTGTGACTCGGCTTAAGATCTAGAGTTTTGTGCTACGTCTGAGACTATAGCTGAGTACATGCTGGGCAATATGCAGCGATGATACAGGCATTGACCAACTTCTAATATTAAGAATTTTTAACCAATACTACAGTATGGTGTGTAACAATCGGAGTGAATCTCAGTCGGGATATTTTTTGTTGTGTTTAATCTGCCAATTATTTGTTTGAGGAATCGATTAATCATTTTGTCTATAAAAAGTCAAAATATAAAGTGAAAAATGACAATTTTCTAAAACTGAAGTTGACTTCATCAAAGTGCTTGTTTTGTCTGATCAGTCCAAAACTCAGACAATATTCTGTTTATTCTCACATAAGACTAAAACTTAAAAACTCAAAATTAAACATGACTGCACTAACCATTAATTCATTAATCCACTAATTGTTGCAGCTCTACTAAATAATCTCAGGACAGAGAAGACAGAATGCTGTAGACGTTTCAGACAGCAGAGATTAAAGAGGAAAATTACTTTAGAAGCAAGTGATAATTCATTTTATGAAATGACATCTACTGAGTAAGTAAATGTTGTTTATTTCACAAAGTAAACACTGGTTAACTGTGTTAAAATCACTAAGGTTTCAGTTTATATTAGAGAGTACGGTAGTGGATGCCAGCTTGTGAGTAAACCCCCAAAACATTCTTAACTTTTTTCAGTCAAAGAATGCGAGATTGCACTGAGTTACAGAAGCTAGTTGAACAGATGTTTAGCTTGGATGCAAACTTCAGGACTTCAGCTCTCTATACGATCCTCTCTGCCTTATAAACACCATGTCTTGAAGTTTCAAAGCCCAAGTTGATACCGACCTGATGACATCACTATGACATCACAAGGGTTAGTTTCTCTCAGACTTGTCAAACCTCCTCCAGAGCCACAGAAGACATTATACATTATATGTTTTCACCAGCTGAGTGGTACTCACAGCTGACTATAACTGATCTCTGGGTGTGAAATTGGTGGAGTGCCCCTTTAATATAAAGTAAAGCCCTGTGGTTATACAAAGCCTTCTTGTAGCTTCACACATGGTTCTTATTGTGAATTAATTACATCTGCTTTCAGAGTTTTAAACAGCTTGGTAGATAAATAAACTACAGCTTTACACATTCAACAAGAAAAATACAGGTGACTGTCTGTCAAGGTAAGCAAAGGTAGAAGCCATTAAAATAACAAAATGTGATTCAGCTGCAGAAGGGGGAAGATGGCCTTTGGTTTGTTTTGCACATCATTTTAATCAATTATTTAGATTGTCATGTGTCAGAGCACATAGGTTGTAACCAAATTTACCAGCCACAAGGAGACATAATAGGTCCAACGGTGTTAATAAAGTGTGGAGGCTGATGAGATATAAAGTGTGATTTATGCAGTGGTAAATGAAACACAAGATAATATTGAACACCAATCCTGCTATATGTCTAGGAAACGAACCCCATGGTGCAGCGCTTTCCCAAACGTCTCAAGAGGGAGATCTGCCCAGCTGCAGGATAATATTCATATTCCGGAGGTATGTGCAGGAATAAAACATGCACCAAAAAAAAAACATGCTTTGATCATAACAAACAAACACAGGGAGCTCCACGCTGTAGCATCATGTCATGTCAAAGAGACATACATGGAGCCACCTCCATTTTCAAGCTCCTTTTTTTTTTTTACCTTTTGGGAGGTGAAAGACTGCGTCCAGTGGTACAAAACGAGCCTGTCTTTATTGAAGGGTTTGAGCTCTGCCGTCGGTTCCTCGCACTCCTCCCCGTCTGTGATTTTACCGTCTTCATCCATGGCTGAGATGGGCCACCAGCTACAGTTGGTGGGGGTAACATGGTTGGAAGACGCCATGACAGAGCGTTTTGTGCGTGTGGAGGAGAGGAGCGAGGAGGGAGAGAAGAGGAGAGAGAAAGAGAGAGTGAGAGAGAAAGAGAGAGAGAGGATTTCAGCAGCTCTAGCTCAGCATCATCGGTTCACGAGGCAGCAGCATCCGTCAGTTTCGGGCAGCTCCGGCGCTGGAATCAGCTTCACCTCCGAATAAAACCGAGATTAAAAAAAATGTAAAATACACGCACAGCCTAATCCATATGCAAATGGCCACTTACTCGAGCATGCTGCTACACTTACAATTAAATCAATGTGTAACCGTTACATCACATGATGAGCGACGCACAAACATGCGCGGTGGAAACCCGCGGAGGGGGCGTTTCAGTGGAAGGTCAAGCGGGCACAGTCTAAGGACATGGAGGATGTTGACTACAGGGCCGGAGGCAGGGTTAAAGTTTGTAGATTGTGCATGTCTATCGTCTAGCTGGCCTAAGAAACACACAAAAAAGTAGGCCTAAAAGTAAATGTCAACAGATCAATATGTTTGGACCTATCATTTGTGAAAGTAAGTAGGTCCTATAATGCCACTTTTGCTGCTTTATACTTCAACTTCATTACATTTCAGAAGGAAATTATAAAGGCCTACTTTAACTACTCTATAGGCCTATGCATATCTGACAGCTTAATTAGCGGTAACTTTTCAGATTTTCATTTTAAAATAAAATATAAATGTACATGTTTAGCTAAGAAAATACAAGGCATTTTAAAGACTGAACCAGTAGTTTCAAATCAATTTTCACTCTGACCCTTTGCAAAAAAAAAAGCAGTAGCCTATCTAACTGTGGTCCCTTGTCACATTTCCAACAAAGAGAGATTTCCCTTTTAAACCTCTAGCTCAAGTTTCCATTTAAATAACTGTTGAAGACATAAAAATGTATGCTCATTATAAAAAAGCAAAGTCAAAAAATGAATTAGCCTAATTCACGTTTCTTATATTCTTGTATTGTAGCCTACTGCACAATGACATCATCTGATGAGAGGCCTTGGCCTACATTACCCACAATCATCAGGTGTGTTATGCTATTAGCGGCTAATGTAGCCTCGAGCTGCTTGGCTCAAGCAGAAAGGAGGAGCTACAGAGGTCTGGTAAGCTCACTTGTTGATAACTCCACCTCTGGCATTTAAAAAAAAATGACGGCGCTGACTCAAGTGACATCACTTGAGGCAATTTATCAAATTACAAGCGGCTACTGGAACCAAAAAGGCTGCTCCTCAAAACTGTAACCTGACTTTGATGTGCGCAGTAATCCTCTCATATTCATGCCCTCTGGATGGTCCGACCCAGGAACCACTAGATCAACTTAAATGTGGGCTTATATAAAGTAGTTAAAGCATCATGATCAACTATTTAATAATGAATATGAAAACACATCAGTCACAAGGGCCATTTTTTCTGCAGGAGTACTTTTACTTTTTGATACTTTGTAAGCCTTTGATAAGCTAATAGCTGATTGTACTTTTACTTAAGTGGGATTTTGAATGCAAGAGGATTTTTACTTGTAATTGAGTATTTTTACATTATTGTATTAGTGCTTAGATATACTTAAGTATAAAAGATGTGTACTTCTTCCATCGCTGCTCATTAGTATTGCAAAAAAGTTTAGCACAGTTTACAGAGGGAATAGACATATTTAAAAAGCAGGTACCGATATTCGCCAGCAGAGGGAGTGAAGAGAGTGAAGTAAACAGCAAAATGTTGTTATCCCACAATGAACAACATGAATTCCCACTGTTTTCCAAATTAAATTGTTTGCGATGTAAAATTAAAAAGTGATTAATGAGTGGATATAATAGTAGTAAATTGTATATTTTGTAGGCTCCAGTAATGATACAGCTAACTCTAACTACCATTTATGATCATTACAATATCCTATCGATTTATGATTTATTATACATCAAAACAATAAGTATATCCCAAAATATACCAAAGAGGATTAGCCTATAACAGATATGCATAGGCCTACACGTCGTACTGTCAGATAAAGTTATTAGAACATCAACCAAACACACAGGCTTTAATTTCCTATTAGAATATTGTAGAAATATTATCCTGATCCCATTTGACATAATGCCTTAAGATCTGTGAGACCATACAGGAACATCAATGGGAAATTACAGATATTGGTCTATTTTTTTGCGCTACTAAATCTGCTGCTAGTATGTATTGTCAGTTGTAGATCTGTAGTTGATGCTCTGTTGATGCTTGTATGTTGTTCCTCAAATGTAAGTCGCTTTGGATAAAAGCGTCTGCCAAATGAGTAAATGTAAATGTAAAATGTATTTTTAGATATCTCTTTCTTCACGCTTAATAGACTGTTGATTAGACTATGTTCAAACTGCTTTAAGTGGGCGTAGTCCTACTGTATGAACCTATAGTGTCCTGAATGGCATGTAGCTTAAGCCCCGAGGTGCCAAGACTCTGGCATAGCTCCTTGCAGGCAGCAGAGTAAGGATTGGGTTGTATTTTTGGAAGGGTGTGTGTGTGTGGATTGGTCGCCTTGTTAGGTCTGTTAAAAAATTTCCAACAGCAGCGACCGCCAGGAGATAGCTGGGTGGCAGGCACAGGGGGGAAAGGGGCTTTTCTCTGTGGCCACCTGGAAAAAGCCATGTAAGATCCCTGGCTTGTCAAAACATAAAATAGCCTACAGAAGTAATTAGATTTAATAACCGGTAATCCAAAATTTGAAAAACAGCTTAATTTATTCTGGAGGAAATCTGTGGATTTATAAGTGAAAACGACGAGTCCGAGAAGACGCTGACATAGAAGAGGACTTAAAAAAAATTAATAAAAGTTTAGGTAGCTAAAGTTTGAAGGTGCGCACCGGAACCTCATGGACACGCTGAGAAACTCCAAAAGAAGAACCCCCCACAAGTTCAGCACCAAGGATATCTCCAATCAGTTTTGATGTCAGGTGAAGGTGAAGTCAGACTGACGGAGGTTTTATCTTTAGCCAGGTAACATACTGAAACAGCTTTACTTTCCGAGAGGTGCGTTTTTGGGCTGCGGTGAGGCATGAGTGGAGGTCGCTTTGAGTTTGACGACGGCGGAGCTTATTGCGGAGGGTGGGAGGGAGGCAAAGCCCACGGCCATGGCATCTGCACCGGACCCAAAGGCCAGGGCGAGTTCTCCGGTTCCTGGAACTACGGCTTCGAGGTGGTGGGAGTCTACACCTGGCCCAGTGGAAACACCTACGAGGGGTACTGGTCGCAGGGAAAGCGTCACGGTTTGGGATTAGAGACCAAAGGACACTGGATTTACAAAGGGGAATGGACTCACGGCTTCAAAGGGAGATATGGGATCCGGATCAGTGTTGGCAGTGGAGCAAAGTATGAAGGAACATGGAATAATGGGCTTCAGGATGGATATGGGACAGAAACGTATGCTGATGGAGGTGAGATTTATAAACTAAGACTGAGTTTATTATAGCGCAAAGAAGTAATAGCCTAGTGGAGGAGGTAGTAAAAGTAGCAATATCACAGTGTATAGAACTCCATTTTCCCTATGAAAAGTAGTGGAGCAGAAAGTAGCGATGGAAATACTCAATTACAAGTACCATAAAACTGTTAAGTACAGTAGCCTACTTGAGTTAAAGTACTGTATTAACTTCCTGAGATTTCACCAATTGTGGTATGATATACTTAAAAGTTAAAAGTAAAAGTAAAAGTCCTGCAATCAAAATTTTACTTAGTAAAAGTTCTCATAGTGCAGAATTGGGCAATTCAAAATGATTATATTATATATAGTCATAATATTATAATATAATTATTATGCATTAATGTGTTCCTCACTGGTGGTGCTGGTACAGGTGGCGCTAATTTCAACTACTGTGTAATTTTTGCCTCTGAAATGTAGTTGAGTAAAGGACAAGTATCTCAAACCTGTACTTAAGTACAGTACTTGAGTAAATGTAGCCTACTTCGTTACTTACCACAATTGAAATGTGAACGTGTGCAATAAAATTGCAGCTGCGGGCCTCTGTAGTGGTAGATGAAGTATTCAGATCCTTTACTTGAGTAAAAGTAGCAATACTGCAATATAAAAATATTCAGGTGCAAGTAAATGTACATGAGTATTATTAGAAAAAAGTATCAAAGGTAAATGTATCTATAATATATTTATAAAAATATTCAAACTATTACTATTTATCACTGCATTATTATTATTATTATTATTATTATTATTATTATTATTATTGATGCACTAATGTGTAAGTGGCATTTGTCAAGACATAAAATAGCCTACAAAGTCAATAATAATAATAATAATAAACTTTATTTATAGAGCACCTATCAATACAAAGAACAAAGTGCTTCACATAGACATAGAGAGAAAAATGGAATGAAATGCCACAGTGAAAGATAAAATACAGGAGGGGCAAAATAAAAACAAGAAATAATTAAAAACAATCTATTAGACAGGCGTCTCACATCAGGATATGCTTTCTGATAAAGTGTGTTGTTAGAAAACACTCAAAAGAAGACACTGACTCAGACAGCCTAATTTGCTCAGGCGGGTTGTTCCAGAGCCTCGGGCCCTGACAACTACATAAAAATGAAAAGCAATACCATGTCAGATTACATCACCCAAGGGCAGCATATAAAGGGAAACTAAATTGGCCCAATAATTGACCCTTGAGGTACACCATAACTGATGTGTGAAAAAGACAATATGAGGGTTTTAATGGAGACACAAAACTTAGTATTAGACAAATGTCCCTAAACATACTTCTTATGCAGAATGGCCCTTTCAGTTTGTTTTATGTATATAAATATTACAATCATGGAATGTTATTACTTCTGAATGAGTATTTAATGTTGTAGCTGATTGAGGTGAAGCTAGTTTTAACTCCTTTATATGCTGTTGGGTAGCATAATGTATAAACATGCATTAGATTTTATGTGTTGCTCATATGTTGTGTATGTAAGACCTGAACCTGCAAAGTAACTAATAACTATACCTGACAGAAACATGTAGAGGAGTAAAATGTAGCATAGCATAAAATGGAAAGTATAAAAGTAAAGAAAGAAATTATTCCACCACTAGATTATATTACAGTGTGGTAATTTTATGAAAACCCTTAAGGCCGAGTGCAGCCATATGGTCCATTTCACCAAGTTCATCACAGGCAACATGGAGAGAAATCACTGAGGAAAAAAACGAGCAGCCTCATGATCCTCATGGTCGTTTATGATGTGTAACCAGAAGAAAATATCACCCTGCTGCTGTCAGTCAAGAGAGGTGCTCAAAGCTTGTTGGAAATCAAACCCCACAGGAATCTTTCCATTTTGTTAAACTACACCATCATCAGCAGAGGTGGAAGAAGTATTCCAATCTTTTACTTGTGTAAAAGTAGGAATACTGACA